GATTGTGTTCCAATAAAACTTTATTTACAAGCAGGTAGGTAGGATCTAAGGCCATAGATTGACACAAAAGCGTGGATCTAGAAAACTGCCAACACCAGTGCACCCTGAGAAGATGCAGACGGGGGGGTGGGGGGGGGCGGATGACTGTGCATGCATGCACCCTCTCCTGCAACTGTCCACTTTTCTGAGCATGGTGCATCCAGCATCTTCGAGGCTCACTGCCTCTGGTTCTCTGACTTCTCTTTTATGATAAATTGACATTATCCAAAAGTTCTAGCATGTTTTCACAGGGGTGGGGTGGGGTGGGGTGGGCATTTGGTTCCATGGTCTAATTAATCCCAAGCTAGCTCGAGTCCTTTCCTGGAGCCCCACCCTTCTGGAGTTCTTCTTTCTCTGACCACGCCTGGCTCCTTAGTCATTTTTCTCAACCTTTCCTTCTAACTTCCCTCCTCTGCCTTTTGCTCTCTTGGTCTGCATGACTCCCCAGATTTTTCCATTGGTTCCCTGCTAGCTTCTCTGGGCCCTTGCCTTATGCCTCTCAGCTATTCTACCCCAGATACCTCGTGGGTGCCACCAGCGTGGGGTTCTGAACCGCTTTTCATTTCCTCCCAGAAATGTGCTCCTCCTCCTCCATGCATCCCGTTCTTAACCTTGACACTCTGCCACCCTGTGCTAAGCCCAAGGTCCAGAAGCTACTCTTTGTTCTAGAAGTTCCTGTTTTGTTTTTTCCCTCTCCAGCTTAAAGTAAAATTACATAGTCAAATGTGCCAGTCTTAAGTACAGAGTTTAGTGAGTTCAGACATATGTTAGAACCCATGTTAACAGCATCCAGACCATCAGGCTGGGAAGCTCCCAGTGACCCAGGTCATTACTGAGCCCCTGACCAGGTCTGCCAGCCATCCCAAACATGCTGAGCCCCCAGGAGCTTCTCCCCGCATCTCCGCCATCCCCCACATCACCTTCTGACGTTGCCTAGCCCTATCCTCCTCCTCCTCTTGCCTTTCTGTCCACTGTCTACCAGAAAGATTTAAGATTCTTTAGACTCCTAAACCTGGCCTTGACACTCCTGCTTTAAAATTATCTTGTGACTGATATTGTGTCTACCCAAAATTCCCAGCTGTGTTTTGTATTTGTTTTAGTTATTTTCAAGACAGTGTCTCCCTGTGCAGCCTGGAACTCCTCCCACTCCTCCTTGCCTCTGTGCCTTCTGAGCTTAGGATTACAGCCATGTACCCTGTACCTGGCTTTCAACATTAACACAGTCTACCAGGCCTCACAGTACTGTTTGGGCCAGTTTTAATTATTTTTCTTTTTTTTGTTACAAAGTTTGGGGATCTTTGTTTATTATGTGTTCTTGTTTTGTTTTAAAAGCCATGAAAGCATTTTGTTCCTTCAGATGGACATTTTTTTTTGCCTGTCTTTCTACCTGTTGTCCAGTTGCCTCCAAGATGTAGAACTACAATTACCGTGGGCTAGGGAGAACAAAACGGAATTGTAGATGGGAGAAGAGAGACAGGTTAGGTGTGAGATTACCCCTATTAAGAGGCTTGTTTGTTTGATGTTTTCTTCTGGGGACATCTGACATATTTCTTTTTTAGAAATCTGTGCCTAAATTATTTTTACCCATTGTTTTGCTTACGTAACACCTCCACTTCTCAATATTTGAATATAATGTGTTAATCTGTTTTTCATTACTATAACAAAGTACTCGAGATAACTTATAAAGGGAAAAGATTTATTTGTCTCCCAGTTTTGGAGGTTCCAGTCCATGATTGGTTGTTCTGTTGCTTTGAACCTGTGGTGAGTTAGCACTTTAAGGTGAGAATCATGTTTAAGCCAAGCCATTTACCTGATGGATGGATAGAGAGCAAAAGAGACAGGAAAGAGCCTGCTCCACAGATTTGGATGAGAGGTATTTTGGTGGTACTAACGCGCAGTCAGGTTTGTGAACCACTGTTGCAGAGCTCTGTACTAATCTAACATTTTATTGCTGTTTCAAAAGAGATGTGATTAAAGGAGATGCTTGAAGAGATTATGAGAAAAAGCAAGGCTGGAGGTTGGCAGGGTTGGTGTCTGTGACCATCTGTCTCCAGCCACTTGTCCTGTGTCATGTGTTCCTCAAGTCCATCCTCCCCCCACCCCCACCCCGAAGCTGAACGCAATGATAGTTTTGGGTTTTCTTTCCCATGACTAAGGCTTTGCTGTAGGTTTTGAATGCACCAGCATGCTGCTTTGTCTTGTTGTGCTATTCCAGGCCAAGGGATATGTGAAACAAACCACTCTCCAATCTCAGTGGCAGACAGAACACAGGACCACGTAGAGATGGGTCAGCCCTGAGGGCATCCAGGTGGCAGTAGACAACAGAAAGCCACAAGGGGGTGTGTAGCCACCATGTGGAAGTGGCATCCATCTCTGTTGATCATTTGTTGATTGCTCGCCTCTTCCTGTGGCCACATTCAGTCCCTTGCTGCTGACTGAACTACCCTGGATGTGCCAGAGGAGAAAAAGATGTACTTAGGGAATATACTGCACTGTGCCTGCCTGACCTGTTTTCATCAGAGAACTTGGCCCTTTAGTTTCCCTTGGTTTTTGATTCTTTGTCTTTTTGTTTTTTGACACAGGTCTCATATGTAGCTCAGGGTGGCCTCAGTTTTGTTATATAGCCAAGGATGACCTTGAACTTCTGACCCTCCTGTCTCCACCTCCTGATTGCTAGGATTATGGGCACACACAACCAAACCTGGTTTATATGGTGCTAGAAATCAAGGCTTGTGCATGCTAGGCAAGTGTGCTACCAACCGAGCTCTACCCCCAGCCCCCTGTTTGTTTAAGATTTCAGTCTGCAGAGCCTGCTAGGTAAATACATATCTTCTGAGACATGAAGCTGTTTCCTTGGAGCTTTGTCTCCTGACTTGTGTTTACTCAGTTTTGCTTGACTGTCCATCCAGTGCCTGCCCTGTGCTAAGCACTGGGTTAGGCCCAAGCCAGGTATGTAACGAGGATTGCCAAGCCCAGAAGTAGGAAGATTCCTGTTGCTGATAAAAGAAAACCCAGTCAAAACTGGCCTGACTCACACACCTTTTATTTTCTTAACACAAAGCAAAACAGTTTCTAGGTTGTGGATCCAACCGCTCCCATGGGCCTTGTCTCTGGTTTTCTTAGGTCTTGCTTTATGACCTCACTGTAGGTGTGAATTTGCCTCTGCCCATCTCTCGTGCATGTGGAGACCTTGCCAGGAGCCCTCAGCACCCTTGCCATGCCCTTTCTTTGGCTGGAATCATGACACTTCCAGTGCCTGAGCCTGATCCTCAGAAATGGGATGAGATGCCTGAAGTGGGGCAGGACCAGCAAAAGTTCTCTGAGCATCCCAGATAATACCCAGCCTGACCTCAGGGGTGTCTGTCACCTGAGTCATTCCCCCCTTTTCCTGCACATTCTTAATCATTCACCATGGTTTCAGCACTGTTCCCCTCTCCTGATAGAGCCCTAGATCCTGGGGCTCCATGGAACTTGGAGAGCTCAGAGGAGCTCTTCTAGAGGTCTATTACCAAGCTGTGACCAACCTGCTGTCTCTCTAGTGGCCTTTATTTGCCTGAACTGTTACCCTTCTGGCTTGTTTTACTTGTGAGTTTTGTCCTTGGTTTCCTCAGTCCTTCCCAGGGTGTCTGCCAAGTAGGTGTATTACACAAAATTGCCTGGGCTCCTCCCTTGACATGTCTCTCATTGCCATGCTTTTTTCCTCTTTACCTTCAGTTGCATTAAGTGTGTGTAAGAGCTGAGCACCACGGGCTAGGTACTAGGTATGACTGAGGGAGATAGCTATAGCTGATCTTCTTGAAGGGAACTTTCAGTTCTTCTGGAATGTTCTCTCCTCTCTTTAAGGTAACTTTAATGGATCCAGCAGACCCAGTGCCACCTTCTTGGCCTCCATGCTGTGCTTCTGCTCCTTTATCATAGTACCCAGAATGCTCTTTTTTCCTCTGCCTGTCTAATGTTTGCCAGACTCCAGAGTCATGACTGAGAGACCCTTTGCTTCTCTCATTGGCACCATCTGTATGAAAGCTTGGTTCACCTTTCCTTACTGTTGCTAAATGCTTGACTTCCACACAGCTGGAGTTAGAACTCTGCCTAGGCATTCAGCCACTGACTCCTTCCCTCCTGGGATAACTGGGAGAACAGTCACTTAGTGTGGGTTGTGTGCCTGCATTTACCTGCATTACTTCTCATGAAAATACTGTTCATTTCACAAAAACTCACCAGGTGAGTCAGAGGCCACCTAGGCCGGGTGCAGATGGAATATTGGGGATGCATTTGGGAATAACACGAAAGAAAGATCCCAACTCGTGCAGAGCTGCCGTCCCTAAAAGACATCATCTATCTCTCAAGCTCAACGTAATAAGAAGCAGCACCCAAAATGGGGATGTCTGCAGTAGAAAGAACTGCTTCCTTTTAACTCGAGTTCTTTTGCAACAGTCATTTTTAAAAATTACACCATCAGGGCTGGAGAGATGGCTCAGTGGTTAAGAGCACTGGCTGCTCTTTCAGAGGACTCGGGTTCAATTTCCAGGACCCAAGTGGCGGCTAACAACTCTCTGTAGCTCCAGTTCCAGAGGATCTGATGCCCTCTTCTGACCTCTGAGGGCATTGCACAACACGGGTACACTTGCATCCACGTAGGCTTAACACTCATACACAAGAAAAAATAAAAATAATAAATAAAATATTTGTAAATTACACTTATTTATTTACTTATTTTCTGGGGGAGTCAGCTTTTTCTTTCCATCATGTGGGTTTCCAAGGATTGAACTCAGGTCATCAGGCTTGGTGGCAAGCACCCTTAAGCCCTGAGCCATCTCGTTGGCCCTGTAGCAGGCATTTTGATCTCCTTGTTCTCACTTGTCGATGATGATTCTGTTGAGGAGTATACTTCTTCTGACCAAACCGATTGTTTCAGGAATATGTGTATTTGTAAAACAGCACTTGTGTGTTTTGTCTTTCAGCGGTGAAAGCGGGGCTGGGAAAACTGAAAGCACTAAACTGATCCTCAAGTTTCTCTCGGTCATCAGCCAACAGTCTTTGGACTTGTCTTTAAAAGAGAAGACATCCTGTGTTGAGCAAGCTATTCTTGAAAGCAGGTATCTCATTGGTTTTCTTGTTTCCAATTGATAAGAGGTTCTGAGGAGCAAGCAGCCTTAGGCTCCTCCCACTTCAGACCTTGACTCCAGCTGCCCAATTGTGAATGACCCAAACAAACTTCATCTTAGCTGCCCTGGGACAGAGGGCTTAGTATTCAGAGAGAGGAAGGCTCTCTCAAGCAGCCAGCCATGGACTGGCTCAGTATGAGCAGCATACATTCCACAGCCTCATCAGGGACAGAACAGCATGTGGCAAAGAGCCTTGGCACTTTGAAAGAGGCTAATGTGGCTGGGTACCATCTGTAAAATAGCTTGATATCTGATTGTGCCTGTTAAGGTTATAGAACCATTATGGAGACATTACAGACACTGGATTCAGACAGCTGTCCAAGTGTCAGCAGACTGTAGCTTGATGCCATATCTTGTGACTTGTTTTGTCTGTTTTATTTTTATTTTGTGTGTTAGTTTTACCTGCATGTAAGTAAATGTACCACACGTGTGAAATGCCTGTAGAAGCCAAAAGAGGGAGCTGGATCCACTGGAATTGGAGTTAGGGATGGTTGTTAGCCACCATGTGGGTGTTGGGAACTGAACCCAGGTCCTCTGTAAGAGCAGCCAGTGCTTGTAACCACTGGACCATCTCCCCAGCCCTGTTCGTTTTTTGACTAGACTAGATGTGACTCAGTAACAGAATGTTTGCTTAGCATGTGGAAGCTTAGCATGCACATTAAATACTTAGTTTTTAAAACTGTAGTTAAATATTTATGTCTCTAGATTTCAGCCAGTTGTCAGCATGCAGCTCAGTAGCATTAAGCTCCTTAGTGTGCGGCGGGTCTGTCTTTCCCATCCATCTTCAGGCCTTCTTTGTAAACAGTTCCGTTGGGACCCTGCCATGCTCGTTTGTGTTGTTTCTGGCTGTTTTTAAGCTACAGTGGCAGCACTGAGTCTCAGGAACCACGTGCTCTGCAAAGCCTAGAACACTCACTGTCTGGTCCTTCATTAAAATGTTTGCCAACTCGTGGTCTAATCTGACTTCATTTAGCACTTGTAAATGATCCAGAGATGTTAAACAAAATGCCTCCAGGCTGCACAGCAAATGCATGGAATTTCCAGGACAGGGGATTGTTAGCACCTCTATGTGCACACGGGCTTTTCTGTACAACTCCTGGGCTGTGAGTGTCAGCCAAGCTCATCTGTGTAGGCCTAAGCCATGGGCTCCCTTAGCAGTGCAGCGCCCTTTACTAGCCCAACTAGCTGTATCTTCCCGACTCAGTAAGCGGATGTGCAGGATAAATGGTTACAGCTAGCCTTAGAACAGCAGCTCTTCTTAAATAAACAGAGCCACCCTGGGCCCTTTGGTCACACGCTTTCCTTGTGTTTGTGTGTTTTAGCGTTTGTGAGAAGTATACAAGCTTTCTTAACCCTGCCCTGACTAATACTCTGCTGTCCCCATTCTGTTCACAGCCCCATCATGGAAGCATTTGGCAATGCCAAGACAGTGTACAACAACAACTCCAGTCGTTTCGGGAAGTTTGTGCAGCTGAGCATCTGTCAGAAGGGGAATATTCAGGGCGGAAGAATTGTAGATTGTATCCTGTTTCATTTCACTTTGTCTATAGCATTTGCCTCTGTCTGTGGACCCCATAAGAACACGAAATTTTTCTTATTCTGCTTCAAGCTCATTTTTGTTTTAATATTATTTTACTTGTTAATTATTCTTACGATAAATAAGCATTTTTCCTTTTTAAATATCTGATATTATATCTGTAATCTGGAGTCACCATTTTATTTGTGTTTTCTGTTGATGTAACAGAATACTCACCTGGGTCCTTTGACTTGATAGAGAGAAAAGAGGTTTTTTTTAATTTTTGTTTTTGAAATAGATTTCTTGGGGGCTGGAGAGATGGCTCAGCGGTTAAAAACACTCAGTGTTCTTGTGGAAGACCCAGGTTCGAATCCTAGCACCCACATGGCAGCTAACAGCTGTCTGTAACTCCAGTTCCAGGGTATCAGACAGCCTCTTTTGTCCTCCATGGGCATTGCATGACATGGGTGCACTCACCTACATGCAGGCATAACACTCATACACATAAAATAAAAATAATAAATAAAATATTTTTAAAAATAATTTCTTATAAATAAATAAATAGATTTGTTGTAGCCCACAGTTTTGGAGGCTGAAAATTGAAGGTCGGCCTTTGTACAGACTCTAGTGTGGGCTTTCTGGTTCCATCCTAGCATGGTGAGTGGTGTTATGGAGGGAGCATCTGTGAGAGGTCACATGGTATAACATGAAGTAAGAGAGAAAGAGAGCCAGGATGACTGACCTCAATTCCTAACAGCACAGTCTCAAGACAACTGATAAGCCTATGACTGTGACTCTTCCCATTGGGTCTTATGTTATATAAGGGTTCTGCCACCCCTCAACACCCCTATGCCAGAGACCAAGGGCTGCCCATGGTCTTTGGGGATACACTCAAACCATGTCCACATTGTATCAGCCATCAAGCATCTGTCTGCTTGAAAAGTCCCGTCCCCTGCTAGGGCACCATGTGTCATTGGAATTGGATTTAGGTGAAGTGGGCTTTGCTTTGTTTGATGTCTTTTGGCACTGGAGTACTAATGTCAGAACAGCAAGCCATAATCTTGGAATAAACAACAGCAAAATTTAGACTAATCTACTTACCATGTCTGTTCTGTTCCTTGACTGGCCATTGCTTTTCACATGAAGATTTATTAGAAAAAGTAAGTAACCATGATTTAATACACATTTTTCCTACAATGACATTTTTCAGGAATTTGTTACTTTACATGAATTAAGCAATGGGAACACTTTTTAATATAAATTTGGTTTCTCTCCACAGAACCGAGTAGTAAGGCAAAATCCTGGGGAGAGGAATTATCACATATTCTATGCGCTGCTGGCAGGGCTGGAACAGGGAGAGAGAGGTGAGTGACCGGCGGCAGATGGGGCTGGCAGCTTGTCCATTTGTACGTCTCAGGAATAGCAGGGTGTCCTGGGTGTGGGGGGGCTTGATTTCTGTGTATCATAGTGGAATGCATACGTGTATCGTAGTGGAGTGTATACGTGTATGGTAGTGGAATGTATACTATAAGAATACTGAGGGTGCCAGGCTTATCTTAGGGTCAAACTTATGCAAAGAGAAAATTACCAGCAGAGAAATCTTGAATTGTTTGCAATCTTAGTACATTTTTAATTTAATGGATATTTGTGAAAAATGTTTTGTAGTTTATTTTACTCTGTGTGCATGTATATGTGTGTTTGTGTATGTGTATGACCATGTATGTGTGTGTATACAGGTGAGTGTGCATGTTTGGCACAGAGGCCAGAGGTTGATGTCAGGTTTCATTTGTCCCCATCTCATTTTTTGAGGCAGGGTTGGTTGCTCATTGAACCTGGAGCATCCTGTTGAGTCAATGTTGACTGGCCAGCCAACAAGCTTTTTATGTGAATTTTGGGGCTGAACTCAGGCTGCTTGTTCAACAACCACTTTATTGACTGAGCCATCTCCTAGCCCATGGTTTTACTTTTAATCCACACCTAAATAAAACTAATTTATAAATGTTTGATTACATTTTTATTGTAGTGGTATATGACAGGATGCATGAAATCCAGTGTGGGGAGGCTATGGGGCAGGAGCAGCTAGGGGAGGCATCTTACTATGATTAAAATGTATTGTATGAAATGTACAAAAATTCAATAAAAATGTATATTGCAGCAAAAAAAGAGAAATTGTATTTATGTCCTTTAAGCAGATACTTAACTATTTCTAACCCTCTAACCCCAAATGTTTAGCTTTTAAAAGAAAAAAATAGAACAATATCCTCATTAATTTGTTTTTCTAAATTCCCATTTAGTTTAATTAAATTATTTTTATTTTCCCTAGACGACTACAGGAGAACTTTATCAGTGTCTTAATATGTGGCTATTTGGGGTATAGAATTATGTGTATGCTTCAGTTATTAAAGCCAGAATGTTGTCCCTAGCATAAGTTAAATAAGTATATAAATAGATAAAATTACAGAGTGGACTCTTAAAATTTTGTCTGTCACAGTCAGCTGACTATTGATATTACATTCTTCTTTGTCTTTCTGTAGAAGAATTTTATTTATCTGTGCCAGAAAATTACCATTACTTGAATCAATCTGGATGTGCAGAAGACAAGACAACTAGTGACCGGGAATCCTTTAGAGAAGTTATTGTAAGTTACTTTTTAGTTTTCTCCTTATAAGATACAGATTCCATTTTCTGTTTCAAAAGAATTTTAACAATATAAACAGAAACGGGCTGGAGAGATGACTCAGCAGTTATGAGCACTGGCTGCTCTTGCAGAGGCCCTGGGTTTAGTTCCCAGCACCTACATGGTGGCTAACAACCATTCTTAACTCCAGTTCCAGGGAATCTGATGCCCTCTTCTGACCTCTGCAGGCATGATATGACACAGATGCACTTACATACATGCAGGCATAGCACTCATATACATAAAAATAATAAATAAAATATTTAAAAATTTCTAAACAACAGCAGCAACAAAAAACAGAAATGATAACACTTGGGAAAACGTGTGAGAATAGCTATTTCCTTCTCACTATGAGTCAGTGAAGTATGCTTTCCAAGCTGGAAGGAAGTCCTTTTTTAGAATGTGGGTATCTATGTCCCTCAGGATAGATGTAAGGCTTACTTGAAACAGCATGTTCTGAGCCTGTGCCCTCTACCCCAAAACTCAGAAACAGAAAAACTTTGGGCTTTGCATCTGTCCAACGATTCCTCCAGTTTTGAGCTTGCAGGTAAGGTTTCTACTAGAAAACAGGTTCCTCAGCTAAAAGCAAGTCCCATCAGTCATGGGACCAGGTGACAACTGGGGTGCCAATCAGTTCCTGCAGACTGACTATTGGAATGAGTTATGGTTCCTGGACAGTGGTGCTCTCAACTTTGGGTTGTGCACAGTCACTGGCTGGTCTCAGTTTTCACACAGGCTCTGGACAACATGACTACATTGAATAAGTGGTCACCATGCGCTGTTAACAGCCCACCCGACCAAGTGGCTGGAGATCACAGGATGGCAGACTCAGTTTCTTTGCCAGAGCCCTCAGTACAACAGTAGGATACAGTATGTCTAGGGTTGACTTATCCTTAATCATACTAATTATCAATGAAATTGACACAAATACAGGCAGCCATCTGTGTCCGTTGCTCAGATTCTCAAATTTAACTGTCAGCAGAGCATATATGCATATATTTAAAAACCATATCAGCATATATTGATACTAAGCATATTTAGTATATGTATGTGTGTACTAAACACTTAAGACTTTTTTTCTTACCGTCATTCCCTAAACACTACAGCATAACAATTATGTATATATACTGTATTAGGTATTAAAAATAATCTGAGATAACTAGAAGTATATGCAAGATATGCATAAGCTATATGCACTTTTGTTTTTTTAATATTTTATTTTTTTATTTTATGTATATGAGTGTATTGCTTGCATGTGTATAAGTGCACCCATGTCCTACAGTGCCCATGGAGTACAGAAAAGGGTGTCAGATCCCCTGGAACTGGAATTCTGGACGGTTGTTAGCTGCCATGTGGGTGCCAGGACCTGAATCTGGGTCCTTTGCAAGAACAGCCAGTGCTCTTAATTGCTGAGCCATCTCTCCAACCCCTATATTCACATTTATATAAGAGACCTGCACAAGCTGAGATCTCAGTGACTGCAGGGGGCCTGGAACCAGTCCCCTGTGGATACCAGGGATGCCTATACTTACCCTTAAGAACTTTATTTGAACTTAGTTACTCTCTTAATGACTGTGTCAGATCATTAGTATGGTGCCTCTTATTTAGAGGCTGGCGAATAGCCCACCCTTCCCATACCTTATAGAACTGGTGTAATCACACAAATCCTAGACTACGTTGCTAGGCAGGTCACCCTCATGTGTTCAACACACCTCTGACTTGTCTAATAACTTAGGAGGTCAAAAATTCCCTGATCATTCTGTGTATGGTGCCTTCAGCAATAGGATCTTATTTACCATCTAGTTCTGGTGTGCAACCAAGAGCAACGGCAATATCCTGAATTGTTTTGGGAGCCTCTAAGGTCTCCTGGTTAACAGTTAACTCATAGAGGAGAATGCCATTTACAATTAAGTCAAAATAATTTTACAGTGAGTACAAATAATGCATAATTTCCCCAAATCTCATTATATAATCTGGATCTAAGTTGAAAATGAATTCAATTCAGGCATGGTGGTTCATGTCTGTAATCCTGTACTTGGGAGGCTGAGGCAGGAGGATTGCCACGAGTTCCAGGCCAGCCTGAGCTACAGAGGAAGACACTATCTCAAAAGAAAACAAAGCAGAGCAAAAGGGGGAAAAATCAAAAGAAAATGAGATTCTAAACAGACTAGGCAATAATGTGGTCATATTCCTCTTTACCTTTCTGTTAAAGTCACAGAATCTTCTAGTATAATGCAGTGTAATGTCCTGTCTTTGTCTCTTTGTGTGTCTATCTCTGTCTCTACCTCTGCCACCATTGCTATTTGTCCCCAGTGCATGTGTTAGAATAAATAAATACTCGCTCTTATTTTCAATGAATAGGGGGAAGGGCTTGCCTTAGAAATTTCTTTTTCTGTTTTTGCTCCTTTCTTAAAGCCAAAGAAGAATAATTTGTGATAAAAAGACGTTGTTCACAGAGACAAGCAGAACAGGCAATTATCTGAGACTACTCTTGCTGCATGCCCCACACCTATTGAGCTGAGGCACCAGGGTACTCTTGTGAAGCTGTCCTTGCTCCGAGGCCCTTAGATGCTGTTCCTCTTTCTTCCTCTTGAGGCATCATTTCCCCACATAAAACTGCTCCCCTTTTCTGTTCTCTCACAGTTGGCTCTGGGAGCTGATCTTAGTCCCTGTGGTTGCTAGCTGTATATATCGAGATGACAGGTTTTGGCATTTGAAATTTGATCTTCTGACAAAATGATACATCATCTAGAAAGGCAGGGAAATTTCAGTATGAAATTGATATTGCATTCTAATGTGTTCTAGTTACATATTCTCTTCATGTGTATACTTCTGGGTCCTTAGGTGTTTAACTCACAGTTCCTTATCAGTGTTGGCCTGCCAGAAGCGTCAGTGAAAACTTAGCAGATGTTTACTAAGATCACAAATGTGACATTTTCTTACTACTATTTAACCATTTAACCTTATTCTAAGTAATGCTTCAAAAAAAGAAACAAAGCCCAATGGGTACGCTTAAAATCCCAGCACTTGGGAGGCAGAGGCAGATGAATCTTTATGAGTTTGAGAACAACCTGGTCTACATAGTGAGTTCCAGGCCAGCTGGGGCTACATTGTGAAACCCTGTCTCAAAAACAAAACAAAAGAAACAAAAACAAATGTGCAACTTTGAAGGAAAAGGGAAGGAAATATTCCTTTCTGGGAACAGCAAGATTTTCTCCTCTAAAAGCTAGGAGAATTGAGAATTGGGAACTAGTTTACATAAGTTTTTATGTGCATAGGATGAGATCCTTTGTAGCAAGTGAAATACATGTTCAGGTACAGCATTTAGTAATATTGAAAAGTTTGTTCTCTAAAAGCTAGGAGAATTGAGAATTGGGAACTAGTTTACATAAGTTTTTATGTGCATAGGATGAGATCCTTTGTAGCAAGTGAAAAGTGAAATACGGTACAGCATTTAGTAATATTGAAAAGTTTGTTTTATATAAGAAATGAAGAGGCAGGAAGCAGCAGTTTATATGTGTGAGTTACATATATATAATCCCTTTATTTAAAAAATAATTATATATTTTATGACAGTTATATGTGCAGAAAAAGGTAGATACAAAAATAAATACCAAAGATGCTATTTTATATGGTAGAATTCTACTAGTTTATTTCATTCTATACTATTCTCTAAGTGTTATATTTTCATAATGAGCATGTTAACTTTAAAAAAAGCTTGATTATTATTGTGGGAGTGGGATCATGTCATGGCATATATGTGGCGGGCAGGTTTTTTGTAGTCAGTCCCCTCCTTCCACTTTCACTTGGGTTCCAGAGATGAATCATCAATCAAGTGTCTTCATCCGCTGGGCCATCTCACTGGTTCCTTGTTAACTTTTTAATGATAATTATTTGGGGGAGACTTACTTTTCCCTGGAGCAGAGGCAATGAATATAAGTATGCCCACTTTCATAACCATAAATTTACAGCTTTCTAAATTGCACCATCAATTTTTCAGTCAAAATAAAAAGCTATTTCAAGTCAGGAGTAACAACTAATTTATTTTACTGCCTACATTTGGCTTATCCGGTTGGTGGCTGATGAAATGTGTGTGAAGTAGCAAGAGACTTTGATGAGTGATGTTCTCTTCTTTGTCTTACTTTACAAATATTGAATATTTACTGCGTCTTTGGTTGTGGACCACAGCCAAGATTTCCTGACTGCATAGACCTTACTGCATATACCCAGGGGTTTTAACTAGTATGTGGCTGTGATATGTGCATGGAAATTTATTCTACCTGAATCATATTTTATGATTTAAATAATTGATTTTGTACTTCAGCTTTGCCAAATGTAGGAACATCAGACTTGGAAAACTTACCTTGGTGTTGTCTTGGGAGTTGTCCCCCTATAGAACGAGAGAAAGGCTAGGAATGTAGTTTAGTTGGTAAATGGTTTGCGTAGCATGCACAAAACCCTGGGCTCGATTCCCCAGCACTGCATAAACCAGGTGTGGTGGAACAAGTCTATAATCCTCCACACTCAAGAGGTAGAAGCAGGAGAATCAGACGTTCAAGGTCATCCTTGGCTACATAGTTCCAGGCCAGCCTGGGATACATGAGACCCTGTCTCAAAAATAAAATAAATCTCCAAAGGTAACAAGTTGATTGTGGAATGACAGTGCACTGCGATGGGAATATGCAAACTGCATGTTTAAGGAGGATGAAGCAGGGGAACATTTGCAAAGGTAAAATGAGGAGGCTTACAGAGGTATTTTCGAAATAATGCTTGGTGCTGCCGATCCGTAGCACAGGTGACCACAAAGAGGCAGCCATTAGGTGCCAGACTGAGCTCCTCCTAGTATTTTCTGTAGGGAGACGGTGGTCCTGGCAATCCTTTCTGAAAATTCTCCCCCCTTCCTCCTGTTCCACTTTGTTTAGCCATTTTCAGTTTGACACACATGACTCCACTTTGATTCCAACAGCCTTCAGACAGCATAAGCAAATATCACACATAAAATACTTCCAAGAACGTAGATCATAACATAGCTTTGCATAATGCAGCATTATCAAATTACATATGTATACCTTACTTACTAAACTTCAGACAGCCTCCTTTTCCATTTTGGGGATACCAGGGCTCAGAGTTTAGCCAAGGGCCCTGTGCTTTCTGAAAGGGTTTCTGGAATTGAGACTGTACCAAATACTTGTCACATACGTGGTCCCAACACACATATTCACAGGCATCTGTTTTTTATGTACTTAATAAAAACTTTTATTGAAAAATTCTCTGTGTAACTCTGTACCAGTTTTATAACTAAGTTGGTGTTTAGCAATTCCAAACCATACTAAGAATTTCCCAGGCTTTTTTTTTTTTCAGTCTTGAGCCACATTATTGAGATAATAAAATAATTATAATAAGACTTAAAGTGGTTACTCTTGCCAAAGGGGATGGGAGATTTCTTAGCAAAACAATTATAAAAAGGACAATAATAGACAGTAAATAGAGGTTTGTGCTAGCAGTTTTAATGCACATGCCCACGCCAGTGATAACTGGTTACAGCTATTAAATTTCCTTGTGATTAATGCCATTACCACTTATCACTATGCTCTAATTTACTAACATTTAGACTTGAAAGGAAAGAAGTAAAAAATTCATTAATGTGGTAAACACATCAACTTTGTCCCGTGTCCCATTTCATATTTTCATGTGCAGCCTTTGTTCTTTTTAAGAACTTAACCAAGATTTCTTTGGAGAAGGTGTGGTGTGTGTGCACATGTGTGTGTGAGAGAGAGAGAGTGTTTGCACGTGAGAGTGGGTGCACACCTGCCACAGTGCAAATGTGGAGGTCAGAGGAGGAGGTCAATCTTTGCCTTCTGCCTTATTTGAGACAGTCTTCTGTTCAGAGCTGTATGTGTCAAGCTAGCTGACCCTCCTGAGTCATCTCCCCAGTCATGAGAAGTTTTGTTCTTTTGGCTTTTTTTTTTTTTTTTTTTTTTTTTTTTTTAGACAGGATCTCCCTGTAGCCCTCTCACTCTGTAGACCAGGCTGGTCTCGATTTCACAGAGATCCACCTGCCTCTGCCTGGGATTAAAGGTATGAGCCACCATGCCCAGAGAGAATTTTTTTTTTTTTTTAATGAGGTGTGTGTTGATATTGTTTTCACTTGATAAGAATATTATGCTCCTGTACACTTAGATTTTTAATTTTTCAATCTTGTTTACTTTTAGTATTATAGAGCCCAGGCAGGTGTCTTAGTGAAGATGTTTATTTCTATGGTCTATGTAAGATTTTCTTAGAAAAAAAAATTTCCCCTTTGATTTTTGAGGGTTTACTGATAAATATCTCTAAATTTAACTAATTCTTTTCCTGTGGATTTTTGTAAATTAATAAGCAGTTGACAAATAGTTCTTATTTTTTGTACCCATTTCTATTTGCATCCTTACTTTAGATTAAGTCATCATGGCCCATTAATTTCTCATAATTAATATTCTGTCCCAAAAGTTATACTATAAGAGTTCCTAGCCAATTTCAGCCAAACCTGAATCTTGGCTCTGCAACCCAGAGGAAGCTGCTTTATCTCTCTGAAACTTTGTTGTTGTCTTTTCTCTAGATATTAAAATTATATGATTATATACAAATGTGACCTAGTATATAATACTACCACATAACCATGCTGTCTTCAAAAAGATTCTCCTCATTCATAGGACCAGCAGCTAGTATAAAAATGTCCCCAGTGCTGCCAGCCTTTAAGTTTGCCTTTGAAGCATCACTTGCTTGTTTGTGTGCTTCCTTCTGTTAAGGAATGCCTGCTTCAGTGCTAGAGAGTTGGCTCAGTGGTTAAAAGCACTGACTTCTCTTGCAGAGGACTGCAGTTCGGTCCCCAGAACCCACATGTCGGCTAACAACCATCCATAACTCCAGGTCTAGGGGATCCAACGCCCTCTTCTGACCTTTATGGGCATTGCATGACATGGGTGCACTTACATACATGCAAGCAATACAATCACACACATAAAGTAAAAATAATAAATAAAAATTTAAAAAAAGAAGTGCCTGGTTTACTTTTGCTGTTCAAGAATCTTTCAGGAGAGCTGTCCCGTCTCCCTCTGCATTGTCAGCCCTCTTTCTGGCTTTACTGCTGTTTTCCTGTAAAGAAATCAGCCCTTTTCCTTTAGCAGTGTCTATTGTTTCATGGGGGGCACACAATTTCTGTCTTTCCGCTTCCTGTGTACATTGTATGTGCGCTAGTTCTCTTTGTGGTACATTCTCTTCAGTGTCACAACAGCCCTGCACTTGATTTTGTGTGTAGGGGAGGGAGGTCTTGCTCTGTCTAGCGTCGCAAGAAAATCTTCTAAATCACAAAAGAAAATGAGTGAGCCTGAGGTGATTCCCAAAGCACCCGGCACCTGTTCTTTACATACTTGTGGGTAGCACAACACATTATGTTAACTTCACTTAATCTCCTGAGACCAAGGTGCAAGCCTTTTTTCCCCTCTTTCCATTTTCATGTGTCTGTACATGGTGTGCATATGTGTGTATGCATGTTTGCGTGTGTGTGAATACACGTGAGGGGTGAGTGAGCACATGTGTGCATGTGTGTATATGGAGGTCCCAGATTGTTATCAGGACTCATTCTCAGTGGTTCCATATCTTATTCATTGAGGCAGGGTCTCTCAATCAAACCCCGAGCTCACTGATGTGGCTAGTCTGGCTAGGCAGCTTGCTCTGGGATTCCTTGTCTCTGCCTTCTGGAGCTGGAATTATACCCACCAGATATTTCAGTGTGTTCTGGGGATCTGAATTCCAGTCCTTATGCTTGTGTGACAAGTGTTTTAACCACTGAGCCATCTCTCCAGACCCCCAAAGCATAATCTTAAAAAATAGAGACTTGATGATTGTCTAGGGAGAGAGACCCCAGTGAATTCAGATTTCCTGCACATGTCTGTTATAACAGGAAGAAAAATCTCTCCTATCTATTGACTTTCTGATACAAACTTTATCTCATGTACTTGGCTCCTGTTACATTTAACCATCAGGACAAGGCCACAGAATTTACATGGGTGAAGACCAATGAGGCATTGTCCCTCCCTCTCCCCCATTTTTTTTTATGTAAGGAAAATAATGTTCATTGTGTTTTAATATTGGTGGAGCAAAGCATTTTGTTACCAGTGTCATTACAGTGGCTCCCTGGCCTGTTGATTGTTCAGTGGGGTAAGCAGGAGACTGTCTGAAGCATAGGGACTGTGTTCCATTTATTAGTTGGATTATCTCCACATCCTACAGTTCTTCATTCCTGAGCTATTGGGTTTTTTTGTTTTGTTTTGTTTTTTTCCTGTGTAACACTGTTACAGTAAGTGGTGATCATCTGATACCTGTTTTCTTGCCTCTAGAACAACAGTTTAATTTTAGTCATGAGCATTTTTGTCATCTTCTTTAGTGTTAAAGAGCAACATAGAATTGAACCCATGTGTTTTCTTCTAGATCGCAATGGAGGTAATGCAGTTCAGCAAGGAGGAAGTTCGGGAAGTTTTGAGGTTGCTTGCTGGTATACTACATCTGGGCAACATAGAGTTCATCACTGCTGGAGGGGCACAGGTTTCCTTCAAAACAGGTAAGATAGCTGGGCGTGGTGGCGTACCCCGTTAGTCCCAGCACTCAGGAGGCAGAGGCAGGTGGATCTCTTGAGTTCAAGGCCAAACTGGTCTACATAGTGAGTGCAGGCCAGCTGGGGCTACAGGGAGACCCTGTCTCAAAAAGACTTAAAAAAATTTAAAAAATAAAAATAAAACAGGTAAGGTGATGCTGCGCCCCATACCACCCGCTATTTTCATCATAGGAAACTCAGAAAATTGACTGGTCTTTTATAGAAAGTCTTCTGACACCTCAACTGGAGTTACAGACATACCCACTTGGGTGCTAGGGCTTGAACCGAGGGTCTGGAGCACCAAGTGCATGTCGACCACTGAGCTACTTAATCAAGAGCTGGGCAATTTCACCTGAATCTGATGTGAAGGTCGGTTAGCAAAGGGTCAAAGCCTATGAAAAGTTATCACTGAATCAGGAAAGTGTTTAAGTTTCTCTTACTAGAAGGAAAATGGGCCAAATAGGTAGAAATGTGAGTAATAAGGGCTTGATATAGGAAAAGATATTGAGTCAGATGGTGTCCTACATTGATTAGAGTCATTGAAGTAGGGTGCAGTGACATTCAGACTGTTAGTTTTCCAAGTAGAATACTGGATTCACAGCCACGTGCTGTTTATTGTTATCTGCTCAGCACCCATGACTTCCTCTCAGTAGAGTGCCTTAGAGGCTTGTGTCAAGGTAAAATGACTTAATATACTCATCGCTATGTCAGTTGAGGTCTTTTTTAAATTTTTATTTTATTTATCATTTTTATTTTATGTGTATGAGTGTTTTGCCCACATGTATGTAAATGTACCCATGCCATGCAGTGCTTGTGCAGAGGCCAGAAGAGGGTGTCAGATCCCCTGGAACTGGAGTTATAGATGGTTGTTAACTATGTGGGTTCTGGGAACTGAACCTAGGTTTCTGTAAGAGCAGCCAGCATTTATAACCACCAAGCTATCTCTCCATCCCCAAAGCCTTTTAAAATATAAACGTTTTGAGAAGTTTTCTGATGGAAGCAGTAAATGGAAGCTATGAATCGGATGTGCCTGGGATCAGAACAGCTCTCCAGAAGCCCCTTCTGTTGCCAATGCTTATCAGGTGTTTGGCTCTACCAGTTCCTCTCACTATCATAGGACCCTAGAGCTTTTGTTTATGTGGGTAATATCTGTATTTGTTTATATTCACTGTAAGATGAGGGGTTGGATATGGTGGTACAGGCCTCTAATCCCAGCACACAGGAGGCTGAGGCAGGAGGATGGTGAGTTGAAGGTCAGCCTAGGCTACATAGAAAGTTCATTGCTAACCTGGGCTACCTAATAACACAACAGCAAGAAACCCTGAGAAACTTAAAACATTGAGCTGAGGCTATGATAAAGTACTTGGTATACAGGCATAAGAACCTGACTTCAGATCCCCAGCACCCATGTAAAAGCTGGGTTCAGTGGTGTGTTTCCGTGACCTCAGCATGGGGAGTTCCAGCTATGTGGATCCTGGAGCTCCTTGACCAGGCAGCCTAGCCAATTCAGTGAACTCCAGCTTTTGTGAGAAACCTTGTCTCTTTTCTTGTCTCAAAAAAGTAAAGTGGAGAGCAATTGAGAAAGACAGTGTTGAGCTCTGACCTCCACATACATGCACAAATGCACACAGTTACATGTGTATATATATATGTGGACACATGTACTCACATGTACATACCCACCTGAACACTTACACACAACACACATTAATTCACTTAGTAATATTACATATAGCATATTTGTCTTAGTTTGCCTTCAATTACTGTGATTTCATCACTGAGGGAGCCAAGGTAGGGCTTAGGGCAGGAACCTGGAGCACAGACCATGGAGGAACACTGCTTACTGGCTTGTTCCCCAGCCCTGTGCTTAATCTTCTTTCTTATACAACATAGGACCACCCGGGAGTGGCATGGCCCACAGTAGGCTGGGCCCTCCCACATCATTAAACAATGAAGAAAGTGTTCCACAGATATGACCACAGGCCAGTCCAATGGAGGCAATTCCCCAATTGAGCCCCCCCCAAGATGTTTTTAGTTGGCAACTAAAGCTATCCAGCACAGTATTAATTTTTTTCCCAAACCAGAGTCAGTGAGTATCGTTCATTATCTTACCTTTTGACAACTTTCTTTAATGTCTGACATTGTGAAGGACAGCTAGCTAGGTTTTTTATTTGTATTTGTGTGTATGTTTTGCCTGCTTGTCTGTATGTCTACCACCTAAGCGCAGGTACCCATGGAAGTCAGAAGAGAATTGTGGATCTCCTGGACCTGGAGTTACAGGGGGTTATAAGCCACCAGATGTGGGTGCTGGAAACCAAATCCAGGTCCTCTGCAAGTGCAACAAGTGTTCTTAACCACTGAGTCCTCTCCAGCCCAATAGCCAGATTCTCATAACTACTTTGACATTGTTTGCTGGGATGCTCCGTGTCCTCTTGCCTCTTCAAAACTTCTTGGTACTGGTAAGAGACTAAGAGCAGCAAAGCCAGGGGCACCCACGTGCCCCTGGGAAAGCAGTCACAGGCCTCCTCATTGTCTCAGGGTTGCCAGTGGTCACTTTGCCCAGCACTGAGTTCTTCTACACTCCTAACCTAGAGTCACTAAGGGAGTAATTGATTTAGAAATAAAATGCATTCTTTCATTTCTGCCTGAAGAGTCGGGGAATGTTCTCTGCTTTCTGGAGTTGCTGTGTGTTGCTGAGTTTGAACCCAGCAGCTGGTGTGTCTAGGGGACTGTGGCTTCACCTGTGTCCTGCTCTTCACTTTCAGCTTTGGGCAGGTCTGCGGAGTTACTTGGGCTGGACCCAACACAGCTCACAGATGCTCTGACCCAGAGATCAATGTTCCTCAGGGGAGAAGAGATCCTCACGCCTCTCAGTGTTCAGCAGGTATGCCTTCAGTGCCATTAATTGTCTTAAAAGACGCCCCTGGGGTTTCTGATCCACATCTTTGATTTGCAGACATGACTACAGTGAAGGGTTTCAATGATGTAGGCTCATGGGCAAAAGTCTAGAAGAGAATAGACAGAGGTGTTGAATTATTTTGTAAGCAACAGTATAGTCTAGTTTTTATGAGGTCAGTGTAATGCAGCTCATTTGAGGCTGAGTTTTGACCCTTCCACTTAACACTGCTTGTCCTCTGGAAATTCACTCACTGTGCCTTAGTTCCCTCTTCTGTAAATCAAGGATAGTTATACCTAATTCGTAGGACTCTTATGAAGAAAAAAAATCACAGATAACCTAAGTATTTAATATCTGCTACAGAGTAAGCAAGCACTCAATAAACAAGAGATAATAATGTCATTATCATTATTAAACATTAACATTGTAGCACTGTTATTCATTTTTCCCTCTGCTACTGCCTTGAACCTATTTGCATATGCTAGCCCTTTTAATCTTCTTATTTTTTTTTTTTTATATATATTGGGTTTAGAGAGATGGCTCAGTGGTTAAGAGCACTCGCTGCTCTTACAGAGAACATGGGTTCAGTTCCCAGTGCCCACCTGGTGGCTAATAACCATGCATAACTCCAGTTCCAGAAGAATCCAACACCCTCTTCTGACCTCTGTGGGCATTGCATGATAAAGGTGCACATACATACATGCAGGCAATAGACTCATACACATCAAATAAAAATATTAAAAATTTTTAGACGTTGATTTATTATGAGTGTGTGGAAATCAGAAGACAACTGTGAAAGTCAGTTCTCTCCTCCCCACGTGTGTGTCCCAAGGATTGAACTCAGGCCACCAGGCTTGGGGGCAAACACCCACCAAGTCATCTGGTCAGCCCCTTCTCATCTTTCTTAATTGAATAAATAAAAATATTTACCTATCATGAAGAAAGCCTGTATGGGTACAGAGTAGAAAATGAAAAGAAGATAGTTTGAAAACTAGGTCTTGGGGCTGGAGAGGTGGCTCAGCGGTTAAGAGCACTGACTACTCTTGCAGAGGACCCAGATTCGATTCCCAGTACCCACATGGTGACTAAGAATCGTCCTTAACTTCAGTTCCAGTGGAATCCGATGCCCTCTTCTGACCTCCGTGGCATTGCACAACATGGGTGCACTCACATACATGCAGGCAATACACTCATTCACATAAAATAAAAATAATAAAATATTTAAAAAATAATAACAATAAAATAAGAACAAAAAGAGGAAAACTAGGTCTTAATGTTTTAAACCTGATAAAATTAGTATTAATCCCTGTGTACATACATTTGGATCCCGTTGTGTAGCTGGATGTATAAAGTTGACTTTGGGAAGTGGGTGCTTATAGGAGTTCTTAGTGACTGGTTCTGTGGAGTCAGTGAGTCTATCCTTTAGTTTTCTGTTTTTCTGGATCATACTGGTTCTCTTAGCTGCAGGGTCCTGCCCCACAGCAGTGTCTCCCTGTGGGCGGGGTGGGGGGCTCACACTGGCTCCTGTGGTCTCCCCTCCAGGCGGTTGACAGCAGAGACTCCTTGGCCATGGCACTTTATGCACGCTGCTTCGAGTGGGTGATCAAGAAGATCAACAGCAGGATCAAGGGCAAAGATGACTTCAAGTCTATCGGCATCCTTGACATCTTCGGATTTGAAAACTTCGAGGTAGGCCCACAAAGACTGGGGCCTGTGGAGTCTGTCTTGTAGCTGCTGTTAAAACACAGGTCTTAAAGCAACATTGATCATTTTCTCTGCAGATTTTTTTTCCTCTTTCCCCTTTCTCCCTTTTAACTAGTGAGAGCCCTAAAGAACTTACTGAATATATCTCCACAACTAGGTTAACCACTTTGAGCAGTTCAATATCAACTATGCAAACGAGAAGCTTCAGGAATACTTCAACAAGCATATTTTTTCTTTGGAGCAACTAGAATACAGCAGGTAAGCCCACAGGATTCCATTTCAAAATCTTTTTTATTAAATCAGCAACTGAATTAGTTTGAAAGTGTATTTTAATTCACTTGGCCCCTTTTAATCTGCCTCCAGAGAAGGACTGGTGTGGGAAGATATTGACTGGATAGACAATGGAGAATGCCTGGACTTGATCGAGAAGGTACGGGCTGCTGAAGAATGGCTTCAGTCCCAGGGGCATCCAGCTGGTCTCGTTCAGATGTATGGGAACAAAATAACTTGTGCAAACACGCACATCAAAGATGTGAATGCTTAGAACACAATGGACCATTTGGAAACATGACTGTAAATGCTCTGCAAGGTTGAATTTAAATACTTGGCTGCTTCCAACCTATTGTCTCATAGAACTCAGTACTTTAGAATCAACATTGTGTGAATTGGCCTCACTTAGATTGTAAGTCTGTAGCAAAACTTACTTATGGAGACTAGATTTGCCATTTGTAAAAATTTTCTCCGCAGAATTGCAGTGGGGCAATTAAACATATTTATGTAGAATTTCAAATTGGTTTTCTTTATGGTGTATCATTCCGAGTTTTAAATCCAAAAAGTTATAATGTGTTTTCTTTTTACCAGAGGATGGAAGCATTAGAGCGCTAAAGTGGTTTGAAGGATGTTCAACACAACTCATTCAATTTTTTTCTCCCTTTCTTTAGAAACTTGGCCTCCTGGCCTTGATCAATGAAGAAAGCCATTTTCCTCAAGCCACAGACAGTACCTTGTTGGAGAAGTTACACAATCAGCACGCTGTATGTCAACACTGCCCATTGTTCCTTTTTGTCTGAGCAACAAATCTGAGTATTAAGATTATGTATGAGATGCCCAGGGTCTCTAGCTCCTGTGCCTCCCACATTTAATGTTCTCTCTCCCTCAAGTTCTCAAGTTGAAACCTTTTCTTCCCTTACTCAGTAGGCCTATCTTGAATAAAGTTAGGAGCTAAGGGTCAGAATATGCCCAAGTTTATCTTATGAGTGGAGAACTGAAAATTTTAACCTCCTATATGATACAGTTGATTAAAAACAGATAAGAGTCCACCCTCCCTGTGCTAAAACTGATGGTATGTGGCCAGCTTTTCGGCTTTTTCTTGAGAAGACACAGGAAATCAGTAAGTAAAATCAAACATACCTATTTTTTTTTTTTATTAGAATAACCACTTTTATGTGAAGCCCCGAGTTGCAGTCAACAATTTCGGAGTGAAACACTATGCTGGAGAGGTAATGTCATAACATATTATCATCAGGGGTTGGGAATGTGGCTCAGTTGCTGTCATAGGCAAACCCTGAGGTTGGTACCCAGCACCACATTTACCAAGCATTGTGGTACATACCTGTAATCTCAGCATTAGGGAGGTAGAAGAGGAAGATCAGAAGTTCAAGGTCATGTTCGTGCCAAAACACAACTCTCCACCCAAAAGGAATGAGAGATGGTTTATTTTGGAGCCAGTGTGAGTGACTGTGACTCAGGAGCACAGATTTAGGTTCCCCCTAATACCATGTTCCAACATGGTAACAGTTTCACGAAATTTTATAGTAAGCAAATTCATAAATCAAAACACTTTACAAATACATTGGTGTGAACATCAGGTTAGCAGGTTACAGCACAGCAGGGAAACCTCCACTGTCCTGTCGGCTTCAGATGCTGTCTGAGGACATTTTTAACTTTGAGGTGGAAAAGCTGTAGACTGTTAATGCTTCCCAAAAGGTCCCATGTGCTAATGACAGGATGTTAGATCACACACAGAGAAAGGTAATGGCTATTCAGGGGACCAAGACAGCCCAAGATAATTTGTAGTTAAGCCTTGTACCTGCAGCATTCAAACAGCTCCATTATCATTAAAGTTCTAATTAGCCCATGTAGAATGGTCAAACAGGTGTGCCTTCTTTCTGGAAATTTTCATCTATAGTCAGAAATTCAAGGTCATCTTTGCTTACATAGGTGAGTTTGAGGCCAGCCTGGGCTGCAGGAAAACAATAAAAATAAGTAAATAGAAAGTTTTTAAGAAACCAGAGGTTATTTACTGCTATTTGCCCACTCAGTGCTCACAGAAAGCAGTTTCAGAGCCAAGCATAAATCTGTTGAAATGATTGCTTTTCATGAGTCCAGCTTTTACAAGAGTTGCTAGTTGTGTGTGGTGGCATCTGCCTATGAACCCAGCACTCAAGAAGGTCCCTGAGTTTGAGTCTAACCTGTGCTCCCTAATGAGTGAGGCCTTGTCTCAAAAAAATAAAAGAAAGGTGTTGTTCATGACCTGAAGCTTTTCTGCTGAGAGTGTGTCCCTCTCTTGTGTTTTTAAACTAGGTGCAGTATGATGTCCGAGGCATCTTGGAAAAGAACAGAGACACCTTTAGAGATGACCTTCTCAACCTACTGAGAGAAAGCAGGTGTGCAGGTCTCTTCCATGAAGCCATTATTGAACAATTGGCCGTTTGTGCAAATTTCTTGATTCCTGATTACAGATCAGACAGCTCTTATGGAAGCCCTTGATTTAATTTATTTCCAGGCAACACTTCATCTGAGACTTAAGAGATATAACACAGTAGGGAAACTGAGGCTTGGAGCAGTTAAATGATTTGCCTAGAATATCTGAACTGGTAACCAGGAAGCTGAGCTTAGTTTATCAAGTGTGTTTGACTCAAGAGCCTAGGGTTTTAACCAGTCTAGCCTGCTTCCCCCAGTGTAGGCACTGAACTGTATTCATTTCAGCTTTGGTTTTACAGGAACCTACTTCTCATTAGAATTAAAATGTCAAGAAAATTAAGCAAGGGTTAATCCATCCAGAATGGTAAATTTATTACAGTTCATTTATTCATTCATGAATTGTAAACTCATACCATTGAATCAATAATTAAAAAGCAAATAGAAATTTTTAATGATTAGTTTAGCCCTTTGTATGTATTAAGGCCAGGAAGCGTCCTACTGTTTGGAGACTGGGTGAAAGAGAAAGAGAGTTTAGGACAAAGCCCTTCCCAGAGGCTTTCCAGACCTTTGGGGGACCCAGCATGAATCTATACAGAAATAAACTTTCAATATCTAAGGAAGGAAGTAGCACAATTGTTCAAAAAGCTGTAATATTTCTCAGAATGTAAATAGCAGGTGGCCATCCTGTGGCTTAGCCCGGTATGAATTGGGATGAAGGGAGCCAAGCTGAGCTCATAATCTGTCGCATTTGATCTTTAAACTTCAACTCTCCTATGCAAAAACCCATTGCTTAAAATATTATCAGTTACATCTATTTGTAGATGAAATGTCAGACCTGCCAAAAATAAAGGATGCTGGAGAAAAATAGCACAGCATGTTAGTTGTCAAGGCAATTTTAAGCTGTTAGATTTAAAGTGATGCATTTAAATACAGGCTGCCTGTGATCTGAAGTAGAAACAGTTTGTTGTGGTGTAAAGTTCACAGACTAGAGCCCTGCAGAATGGGGTCGGTGGCTGCCACTGCCATCCTTGTGTTAAGGGCACTGGGACAGGGGTGATGAATTTGCTGCTGCACCCTGGTTTCCTTTTGTGAATGGGAGCCAGTCCTGTGTGCTGGCTGACCTCTTTTACCTTTGAAATCTTTGACCTTTTTTCATTTTAATAATAGTTTATGTAAAATATTGTTCAGTTCTTTGACCTACTGCCCATTCTGTGTATACATGTGTTTATCTATCTCTCCACCTCAGTATCTATGTCCCCACCTATATCTTTATATGTGTATGTGGTATGCGTTTGACTGTATTTCATGTATGTAAGTGCACCTGTGTAGTGCAGTGCTCTCAGAGGTCAAAAGAGGGCATCAGATTCCTCTGGAACTGGAGTTAGAAATGGATGTTAACTGCCATGTGGTGCTGGGAATCCAACCCGGGTCCTCTGTAAGAACAGCCAGTGCTCTTAACCACTGAGCCATCTCTCCAGGGCCCCTTTTAAGAAAAGATTTTATTGATCTGAGATTTTTACACAGCATATGTTGGTCATACTCAGACCCCCCTCTATCCCCATCTTAGATTTCTATACAGCATATGTTGGACATACTCAGACCCCCCTCTATCCCCATCTTAGATTTCTATACAGCGTATGTTGGTCATACTCAGACCCCCCTCTATCCCCATCTTAGATTTCTATACAGCGTATGTTGGACATACTCAGACCCCCCTCTATCCCCATCTTAGTTCCACCCCGTTGGACATCCCCCCTCTATTCCCATCTCAGATTTCTATACAGCATATGTTGGACATACTCAGACCCCCTCTATCCCCATCTTAGATTTCTATACAGCGTATGTTGGTCATACTCAGACCCCCCTCTATCCCCATCTTAGTTCCACCCCCACCCATTTTATGTCTTCTATTACTTTTTTAAAGGCCCATTGAGTCTAATTGTGTTTCCAAAATGCTCTTGGGTGTGGGTCTATGCCTTGGAGTCTGGACAGTCTTACAGGTGACATACCAGTAAGGAAAATTGACATCTTTGACCTTTTAATGGAGCTCACACCTTTTTTCTAAGGCCTTCAAGCACAGTCAGATTGCTTAAAAGAGGCAGCACCCCAGAGCAGCCCCTAATAAAATTGAGCCATCTCTGGGGCACAGCAAGAATGCTGACATTGCCACTTGGGGTACAGATGCTTGGATGACCCCTCTGCCTTTCCTGGTGATCGTGAAGCCATCAGCTTTCCCAGTTTGTGGCCCATAATGTCCTCTGTGCAAGGAAAATAACAAGTTACTGTCAGTTCTTTCATAGAGTCAACCAACTGTTGATTGAAAATATTTGGAAAAAAGCCCCTGATTGTACTGAACATGTAGACTTTTGTCCTTGCCAGTATTCCCTAAACAGTGTAATTTATTAACTATTTGGGTAGCAGATCCATTGTGTTGTTACTGTCAGGAGTCTAGATATGGTACGGTGTGGAAGGCTGCATGTAGGTTCTGTGCAAACACTATACTGTTTTATGTAAAGAACTTGAGCAGTTTGGACATTGGTTTCCATGGTAGGTCTTGGAACCAGTTACCTGTACATCCTGAGGGTTGACCGTATCAGATTGTGCAGATGACAAGTAGGCTACAGGGTCTCTGGACAGGCCCGTGCTCCCCAGTGAGACCTCATCCCGGATCACTGTCTTTGTATGTCTGGTGCTCTGAAAGCTGGCATATGTTTTCAGTGCCTCAAGCTGCCAAGGAATGGTTGGTTTGGATCTTTGGAAGCTGTCATAAATCCTCTAGGCCCCAGTGTACTACTTTAATTTTCAGTGAGAAAATGTGCTGTAATTACAGTAACCAGACACCTAATAATCAAGTGTGCACAACTTATTGTCCTGCCCTTCCTTCACACAGATTTGACTTCATCTATGACCTCTTTGAGCATGTCTCAAGCCGCAACAACCAGGACACCCTAAAATGTGGAAGCAAACACCGGAGGCCCACCGTCAGCTCACAGTTCAAGGTTAGTCTATGTCCTGGCTTGCATGAGCCCATTGTCCTTGTACCTGAGGGACTGAGGCAGGAGTAGGGTGTGCATGAGGTCTAGGAGAGAAGACTCAGCTTTGCTTTCTGTTTTTTCATGTTTTAAAGCAGGCAGAGCTTTACAGGTACACATCTTGGGGGCTGAGGGTGTAGCCCAGTGGTAGAGCATTTGCTTTATCATGCTTGGGGAAATGAGTTCAATCTCCAGCATCAAAAATAAATAAGTATATAAATAGAATTAAAAGCTATGCACATGAACATTTATACTTGAGAGTTTACAAATTAAATTAATAAATTAATTTTTGTTATTCTTTCTCTTGAGTCATCTGACAACTTCATATGGATAAGACCAAGGTCATTAAAGTAGAAATACTTCATTACTACAAATCTATTTTGCTTTGAGACACAGTGGCAAGGACTGTGTAAGCATGTTCATGTGTGTACGTTAATATCGACAACAGTAGGTTTAGTAGGTTTGTTTAACTCTCCAAATACCTTGACAGCATGCCACAAGGGGAATCTGGGACACCTACCATGTCTAGAAAAGACATAGACATGTAACTCTTATATATTGGAGAATTGGAAATGTGTGTATGTAAAACATAAAAAAAAAGTATATATATATATATATCTGTATATACACATATAGGTAATAAATTAACATTTCATATATATATGAAAATACGTGGGGTTTTTTTTCATTAAATAAAAAGTAATTTTAATTCTAAGCTGTTGAAAGAGCAGATCTTCATAAGGCTTGTCTTGCCTTCCTGAATCATTTTAGCATTCCAGGTGAAACTAGGGTATAGCTCTTCCCATGTCTGGAAGTTTGCATTTTCCCAGGTATGCCTACAGTATCATAACTGAGAATAATGACCGATTTCTATTTGAATAGTATTGATGTCAGTTAACTTGTCCAGGTGCCCATAATTCAGGGGAAATAAAGAGCATTTGCAATTTTAGTATGTAAGCATTTTCTGTCCTTTAGGGAGGTACAGCCTGTGGAGATCTCACACACGCACACACATTTAATCATGTTTGCCCTCAAGTAACTAACTTGAAGGGCCAATGGAGTCCTGTCAGTCTGCAGACACCACCCTGTGAGGTCGCTCACCAGGAAGTACAGGGTTGTACTGTTGGGTTTTCTTGTGTGCTTGAAGGGCCAATGGAGTCCTGTCAGTCTGCAGACACCACCCTGTGAGGTCGCTCACCAGGAAGTACAGGGTTGTACTGTTGGGTTTTCTTGTGTGCTGCAGTAGAGGGGAGCCAGGCGTATGCCGGCATCACTGGCAGTAGTGGGTGGTATATCTTGAAGGGTAGGTTTCACCCAGGGAGGTGGGTAATGCCAGCTCCCATCTGTTAAATGCTTGTTATGTGCTAGTTGTTGGGTCAGCCATTTTGTGTACATTGATGCATTCACTTCTCATGTAACTTTGTGGTGCATGTCTCTGCACCCAGTTTATAGATGAGGAAGCTGAGGTTTGGGGAAGTAGAGATACCCACTCAGCCCCACAGAGGTCTGAAGCTAGGATTTGAGTTGAACCTATCAAACTCTGGACTCTTAAGTCTTCAAGTAATATCTCTTGCCTTGTTTTATGATAGGATGACATAATTAAAACTGTATGATTTTTATTGTATTTTTTTATGCTTGTTTCTGATTGGTACTTAGGGTGCTGAGCAATTTAAAGGACACAATAAGAGACTTAATCACTATGTGTGCTTTCCCTTCTCATAGGACTCCCTGCATTCCTTAATGGCAACACTAAGCTCTTCTAATCCTTTCTTTGTTCGCTGCATCAAGCCAAACATGAAGAAGGTAAGAATCTTGATGGGGCTAGCCTGGGCTCCCTCCTGGACAGCCTCTTTGTCTTATAGATGGTTGGAAATGGGTATGTGTTATTGACCTATCATTAAATGGAAGTGCCTCCTTCCTCCTCTGAGCCTGGGCATCAGCACTTGAGCAACTCCAGTAGTATTTGAGGACTTTACTTAAAAAGGAAACATTGCGAAGCCTTCACATTTTCTTATCATTAGGTTTGAAACTCTTGGGTCCAGCTCTGAAGCACAGTATACCTATTAAGAAAATCATTTGGTGTGTTTTTTGTTGTAGTTGATTTTTTTTTTTTAAGTTTTCTTCTTTAGCTTTATTTTAAACATGGTGAGACGCTTGTAATCTAAGCAATAATGTTGTTTTACGTACTTTAATTATAAGAAAGGTTAAAGGTTAAACTTTTAATGTCGTGACTCAATCAGGAACAACGTGAGTTTAAAAAGGAGAAGCTACTAAACAAAAACAGAGTTTTAGATACATGTAGTTGCTGAATTCAAAGCTAAATAGATAACTTGCCTTACTACAAAAGTGTGGGTGCTTTTGTTGTTGTTATTGTTCTGTTTGTTTTGAGACAAGATCAAGATAGTCTCTCACAGACATGGACACATGGTCTCCCTGTAACCACAGCTGGCCTGGAACCCATTATGTAGACCAGGCTGGCCTCTATCTCACAGAGCTCCACCTGCCTCTGCCTCTCTCAAGTGCTGGAACTAAAGGCGTGTGCCACCACCCTAGGCAGGAATTTTTTTTTTAATTTTATTTATTATTTTTATTTTATGTGTATGTGTGTATGGCCTGCATGTAGGTAAGTGCACCCGTGTTATGCAGTGCCTGTAGAGGTCAGAAAAGGCTGTCGGATCCCCTGGGACTGGAGCTATGGACAGTTGTTAGCTGCCATGTAGGTGCTGGGATTCGAACCGTGGTCTTCTGTAAGAACAACCAGTGTTCTTAACCACTGAGCCATCTCTCCAGCCCCACAGGAATTTTTTTTAATGCTTTTTTTTTCTTTTGCTGTACTAGGGATTGCACTGAGGGCCTCCTACATAGTAGAATGTGCTTTGTATTTCTAGCATGTTCTCGCTTGAGTGGCCTAATCTCTGTCAGTGTCTTTCCTCTTTGCTGCTAATATTATGTCTCATCCTTTGAGTGTGTCAGCTTTTTCTCAGTTTGAAGTCTTGGGTGCTGGGGTTTATCTTAGGTTTCTGGTGTACCACAGTTTAATTTGAAACTTTTCCTTGTGTTGTGAAACATCAATCAGGTGGGCAGCTCTGCCAGCGTTGACGTCTCAAATGTAGTAGATGTGCCCCGGCACTCCCGTTCTAAAGCCAGAAATTTTAGTTTGAAAAATTCAGTCCTTATTTTTGTTCTTAGATGACATAGAGTGTTTCCTTCAGAGTGTAAAAGCTTTTGAAATTAAGTCTGCTTGAAGCATGTCAATAGCCAGAATTGAAAAAAGTACTTTTTGATGTTTCCTTCTTCATGCTGAGATTTGATCCATAGTAGCTTTGGTTTTTGCACTCTACAGAGGGAGCCAACTCAACTGCAGGTTTCCATTTACCTTGGCTCTGTGTAGCTCCTGATTCACTGCAGACACTAATTAGTAACATGCCAAAGGCTGGGTTGTTTAAAAAAAAAACTATCTTGGTGCCATTTTAAAGGCACCTAGAATATGAATGCCCTGACACAAGAGCCAACTTGTCTGCGATCAAAAAAAAAAAAAAATCATGGATGTGGTTAATGAGTGTGAAGATGCCAATTAGAATATGGAGATATAATGCCTCGGTTAGCACACATTCAGTTCCTTCAGAAATATTGTACTGTAACTGCCAATCCTGCCCTATGAAATGTATGCTAACAGCCCTCGTTTGAATTTCTTATAAATTCTTTTAGTCCAAAGATAAATTTTAAAAGATTTCAAAGGGAGCTCTTGCCTTCCCTCTTTGCAGAGTGGGGAGTGTGAACTTCTGGCGTGAGACAGTTTGATCTCACACACTGCTCCAGTTTATCATGGGAGCTTGGAGGCTGTATTGAAATAGATGTGGATGTGTTTTACATATCATTCAGGGTGGAGATGGTGAGTGGTTTTGACAGATTCTAGAGTTAGTTTTTTTATAGGTTCTGTGACCAGAAAGAGGTAACCACAACAGCTGTAAAATCTGTGGCATTAGGAAAATTGAGGGGAGCTGCTTTTCTGCCTAAGGAACATACTGACCTAGTACATAGGACCATGCAGCCTGTGTCTTGTGAGACACACAGCCCTCCTGGCAAGTGTTGGAACCCCAGGGTAGGCATTCAAGTGAAGAATCTGGGACTCCTTTGTGGCTTCTATCATTTGGATTATTTTTTTGTGCTCTGTTGTAAAGAGCTGGTGGGAAGAGGAGGCTCTCACAAAATGCTGAGATACACCTGTTGACTCAACAACAGGGCCTTGTTTCTTATAAAGAGCTTTTTACTAATCTTGAGTATTGTATCAGAATGTGACTTTAACCTCACGGGAGAATCCTCCTGTAGCCAAAGCAGCTAAGAAAACATGGCTCCCAACAAGAGAGAGTCAGCAGCCTGCCCTGGGCTTAGCTTGCCCTGGAGGATGTGGTACTTCACTGAGCTTAGAACTTTCAGAGTTCACGGAGGGCAGGTGTCTCCCCTGGGTGGTGTTTGGTTGGCGATGTGGCCTTTCTTCTGTTGGGATTTATAAGACAGTCGTAGTAGATAGCCAAAGGTGCCCTGATGACCACAGGAGACTTCTGCATGACAGCAAACCTGCTTGGCCTCATCCAGATATCTCCCCAAGGGCATCTGCAGCCTGTGATCTCTCCCTGACTAGTATTTTATCAAACGAGATCTCATCAGAGTGGTCTCTCATTAACATCCCTCAGAAAACCCTGAGGAGATCCAGGACAAAATTAAAGAAGAAGACAGACTGATGATGAGTGCCAGGGAACCCTTCCTGGTGTGAGAACTTGTCTACTGTTCCAGGCAGCGAAGGGTGAGGACAGGGCCACTGCCTGCAGCATCAACCAAGCCTGCCTCTTGCACTGGCCGCCCCATCCCATGGTTCTGTCTGGAGATTTGGTATGATAAGGACTCAGGTTTGAGGAGGGAAGCATTCTGGATTCCAGAACATTGTACAAGTTGAGCTTTTTTTTTCTTTAGTTTTTTGTTATTTTGTCTTTTTGAGACAGGGTGTCCCTGTAGCACCTGCTGGCCTGGAACTATATAGACCAGGCTGGCCTTGAACTCACAAAGATCCAAAGGCCTCTGTCTCCCGAGTTCTGGGACTAAAAGCATGCGCCACCACGCTCAGCTTTGTCTGTTCAAGTTTTAATAGTATTTTCAAAGATTCCATTGCCTCCTCCAAAGAGACAAGGACTTAGGCCTCCTCATTTCCCAGGGCTAATTTCTGGTAGCAAAGGTGTAGTAGGGGAGAAGAGTGAGTGAGAGATGTCCCACTAAGGACAGACTGGAAGAGAGACCAAGACCTGTGTCAGGTGGGCTGGGTCAGGGGTGCTGGAGTATGGACTGTCAAGTGAGAGGAGAGACCAGAGCTGGAGAGGTAGTCAGCCAGACCACAGTGGGCTTCATTGGTCAATGTCTTGAAGCAGCACTCCCCTGCCCTGAGGCATGAGGGCACATGCAGTCTCATGGAGATGATGTCTTTAAGGACTTAGGAGGATGCTGCTGCTTTCCATAGAAGTGAATCCCAGGGCTTGGATACTTCTTCATGATGTTACTTAAAACAAATTTGTTTGTTTATTTATTTGAGTGTGTGTGTGCTCACACATGTTTGCAGGTGTGCATGCCTATGTGCATGCAGAGTCAACGTAAAACGTCAGATTCCAGGGGTCTGGAGTTACAGGCATCTTCTGAGATCCAAACTCTGGTCCTCATGCTTGCCCAGTAGGTGCTCTTAACCCCCAAGCCATCCCTCCAGCCCCTGCGAGGCTAACATCTAAAATGTCATGCAGGGTCCATCATTTTGACAGTGCCCTGAACTGAGAGAACACTGCAGAGCGACAGCACTGTGCAGGCCCGGAAGCAGGTCTAGCTGGCTGACGGAACTGGAAGCTCCATACTGGCCCCTGAGACTTGTGTTTGCCTGGCCTCGGTGCCACTTGCCATGACTTTCTAAGCTTTTTGTTGTGTTCTCATCTCAGGGGATTTTCTTGTTATTGTTGCTTTTATTTCCTTCTGTACCTTTTTCTGTCTCCTTTGTTTGCTTGGTTTTTTTGTTTGTTTGATTTTTCAGATAAAGTCTCACTATGTACCCCTGGTTAGCCTGGAGTCTCACTATGTACCCCTGGTTAGCCTGGAGTTCCCTGTGTTAGACCAGGCTGTCCTCAAGCTCACAGAGATCTGCCTGCCTCTGCCTCCCAAGTGCTCCCAGATTAAAGGTGTATGCTTTTGTGTCTGGCTGTGTCTCCTTTTATGTGTCTTATTTCTTCGTGTATGTGTGCAGGTGCATGTACCTGAGCACACATCCAAGGAGGCCAGAGGAGGATGCTGGGTGTCCTCTGTCACTCTGTCAACAAGCCCCAGTGATTCAGCTATCTCTCCCCCCTGCCCCCACCTCGGGACTAGGGTTACAGCACACCCAGTTTTTTTACATGGCTGTGGGAGATCCTAACTCAAGGACTCGTGCTGGCAAGCAAGCTTTCTCACACACTGGCCCATCTAACCAGGCCCTTAAGTGCCTTATCTCTCATCAGTTCTTTTTCTTTCCATCAGTGCTTTATGTAGGCTCTGGTCACTATCCTAATCCTATACTATGAATAAAATATTCTGTCCTTCTGGAAGACCTGCCAAGTCCCACTCTGCAGGCCTATCTCATCCTCTGTGGGTACCTGCACCCATGTGCACAGACTCAGACATGCACATATGTACATAAATAAAACCCAAAATAAACATATTTTTAAAGATGATTACAGGAATATAATAGCAAAAATGAAGTAAGTAACTTGAACAAGACCTACGTCATCGAGGGTTGA